CACCCCTGCGCATGCACGGCAGATACCCAACAATCAGCAGGCAGGCGCGCAGGCGCAGTGGACCTGATCTGAGGTGATGGCTCGTGTGCCGGCAGAAATGACTCTGCGTGCCACTTTCAGCACGCGTGCCATAGGTTCGCCATCACAGTTATATGCCATACTTGAAGAAGAGAACATTGCAGGGAGATCAGCAGAAGCCCCCCTTCTCCATCACCACAGCATTCTTAGGACCTAGATTCTATGTAAAAAATATAGCTTTAAAGTCAAAACTTTAAGAGATCCTCTTAATATATATATTTTGGAAGCCCTGACAAAGGCTGACATAACGTTTTAAAAGCCATCTGTGTTTTTCATTATGCCTCATTGTCAGGGTGAATCTAACATACTACATGAAATATAGAGCTGATTATTTACAATAGTCATCTTTGGTGTACTTTGCAATATAATTAATCTTGCTAAACTAATTTGATTTTAAATATGGAAGTGATTTGTAGGTTTTCTCTGTTATCTGTTGCTTTGTGTTGTTTATCCTGGCATTGCACAAGGGGCACAGTTCTAACCAGCCTTTGTTTTATGGGTGTGTCTGTTTAGGCAATGCTAATGGTTGTGTCTCCAACTTTAATATACTTTGCGGGCACAAAACCTTTGTTGTTTATTGTATGGTCTTTGTAGTTTCTGTAGAGCAGCATGTTGACTAAAGTTATGCATCCTCCTGGCACTACAGTTATCATATCATCCAGAGGCAGACAATATTGGGAGGGTGGTTGCCTTGTATACACGTCCAGGCCATGTGACAAGAAATGAAATTCTTCCCTTCCTCCTCCCTCCTTTTAAATATCTCAATATTTGGCCAAATAAGGGTATTCACTAACTCTCTTTGAGAAAGGGAGACTTCTTCTGCTAGGCTTGAAATACACAATAATACAATTAACTTGATGTTGTCTCTTACATGTTTTTAATGTTCTGGAAGACCCAGAAGAGCTTTGGTGAAAACCAGTGGTGGGATTCAAATTGTTTTACCACCAGTTTGGTGGGCGTGGTTTGGTGGGTGTGCTTTGCCTAACGCCGGCACGCAGCTTTCTCCACAGCAGCTGAGATCTGCAGCGCCAATCGGCTGAGAGGAAACAGAAGAGAAAAAAGCGCAGGGGTGGGTGGGAGGGCCGATCCTGCGCTTTTCTGTTTCCTCTTAGCTGATTGTCCAGCTGATCGTTGTTGTTGTTTTTTTTTTTTTAACTACCAGTTCGGCCGAAGTGGGCCGAACCAGTTGCATACCACTTAGAGAGGGCTGTAAAGCACTATAGAATGGTATATAAGTCTAAGTGCTATTGCTGTACCACTGGTGAGAAGGTACCAAGTTGAGGGAGTGAGGAGACTTGGGGCCTGCTCAGATCAATCAACAGCTTCCAGCAGTTATAACAAGTTTCAGTTAAGTTGCCTATCCCTATTGTTATGTTTAAAATAACACAGCATTGTATTTGGCCTTAGTATGTTTCCCTTGCTAGCATTATGCTGTCTTGGTATCTTACTTTCAGCCGAGGCAAATAGGGTATTATATTTCTTGAATTATAAGGGAGTATTAATAATGAAAACCATGGTAGAATTTTTAGAGATGTTACCTCATCTTGTCAGTGATGAGCGTGTAAAGGACTTGGGGCATATTTGGCTTTATCATTTTGGGTTGATTGTTTTGTATCCGCAGAATGTATTTTGGGATGGTTTCTTCCTCTTTTCTTTCTTCTCTTTCTTCTCTATGCCTCTGCATTATTGTACAATCTTCATTTGATTGTTCCATCAGGTAAACTACCTGTTCAGGTTCTCACTCATTTAAGAGCTGTTTAATAGGTTAGGCTAGAATCACGAACCCTTGTCTTAAAATAATTTGTCACCTATATATATATATTTATATTTAATTACTGATTTTATATTTCTTATTTATATTAACATATGGAGGAGGAGCTCGGATTTTAGTTACTATAACTATTGCTGTTAAAAGTGAAAAAGTGATGCTTATTCTAAGTTGCTAAGATTTTAGCAAGACATATTTGGGGGAAAAAATACTGCAGGTAACTTCTTTGTAAATTGTTATAAGTTGTACTTCTTGAAAAGTACAAAATGGAATTTTTTAAAAATCCTAACAAAATAAAATGACTAACCTATTTTGTAACTTTCAGTTTTATGTGTTGCAAAATTGGAACATGACCTGATGTAAACTTCTGGAGATAAGCCCCAGCTGCACAGTAATGTTTCTTGAAGTTGTACAAGTTCAAAAAATAAACATATGAAATGTCAGCATACTGACACTGGATAAATACTGTAAAAGTGCCTTAAATACTCTGAAGATATATAGAAAATCTAGATTAAAAAAAAAAAAGATTTTGAGCTGAGTCTTCTCAGCCCTTGTTGAAGAGGAATGTTGCTGGAATGGTTACTGCTTAATAACTAAAGATGTTCCTTAGCTATGCCAGGAAAGCTTGATTCTGTAGGCTTCGTTCTTCTGTTGAAAAAGTAATGATCTCAGCAAGAGTCCTGCCTTCTGCTTTAAACAGCTGTTCATTAGGAGATAAAGCTTCCTCAAGCATGCAGTGTTACCTGCAGAGTTTTCTGTATCTGGTTGAATACCCCGTCTTAGGCTGTCCTTCTCCAACCATGTGGCTTGCAGATACCCTGTGCTCAAATTCCCCTAATGGTCGGTCATGCTGGCGAAGGAACTAGAGAAGATGAACTCAAAAGCCTGTGGTGGCTACCTAGAGTTGTGAGAGGGTACTTTAGAAGGTAATTAAAAACAGATATAGAGAGCAATTCCCTCTTCTGGTTTTTCTCTCAGATTGCAACCAACATGATGGAGGTGCCTGAATCCTTACTCAATTGGTAATTTTTTTCTTTGTGCAAGCAGTTTTGCTTTTCATGCTTATATCCCTTCATTTTAAAAACCTTGTTTGCTTGAGCCCAATTCCAGTGGAAAGATTTTTATGTATGCATATGTTTCACCTACTAATAAAACCAGAGTTTATATGTTAATTTATTCCAGGTTTTCATGCATCTTGGAGCCAAAAAAGATAGGGAATACTCCCAGCAAGTTTATAGCCTTTATATCTTTGAAACTTGATTAAGTAGAGTTAATGCAAACATGGTAAAGATGGTTACGGAAATACTTGTATTAAGAAGCAATGTTATATTTAATTTTGTATTTCTAGACTACTCAATTAATCTGGATTTATATACTCATTGTATAATTGATTGTAAGGAATGTGCTCTAGGAGGTTTCTTTACCAGCTACAGAAGTCATGGCTTTCATTGGAGCATTCATGAGAAATGATAGAACAAAGCAATGTGATTAATAAGAGAAGTTGAAAGACATTCCTAACTGGTAACAGCTTCATTATTTTTAAGGCCTTTCTGAGAGACTTGGTGTCTTGTTATGGATGTGGCAGGGAAAGGATACTGTAAAATCCCCATACCCTCCCCACTCCTGGGGGAAGGTTACTGCAAAATCCCATTCCCTCCCCACCCCACTAACCTGCTTTCTAGCTCCGTTCTCCTGTGCAGGGCAACAAAAGGAGACCCAGCCGATCAGCTGGGACTCAATGGGAGGCAGACAATAGATGGGGGCGGGGCCAGTCAGAGGTGGTATTTGCCATTTCTCCGAACTGCTTAAAATTTCCACCACCGGTTCTCCAAAACTGGTCAGAACCTGCTGAATATCATCTCTGTTCACACTAAAAGTGATTTGCAAATAACCTCTGTGGAATGATTTATGCAGTCCTGTAAACTCTGTGAAATCATCATATAAAATTTGGCCTAATATAGACAGGTATGAGTTATAGCTTCCATCATTTTGTTTAGGCTAAAGATCGACTGTGAGGAGCCAACATTTCAATGAAAATTTCTTAAATGGGATGGCAGAGACAGGCATAATTCTATGCAAATTTTTCTGTTTCCAAAATTATACAATCCTCTCCGGTAATTGAGATTTAAAGCCTGAAGGACCACCAAAATATAAACTGATGTGGGGGACAAGCATAATTATCAAAAGCCATAAAAATGTTATGGTCACAGTCTAAATGCACATAAGTGCATTTAGATTATATACATTTGAGAATTGATTATGACTCTCTTCTCGTATATATTTGCTCAGGCAAACTTGGCCCTAAGAATAAAATCAAGCGGTCTGTGGGGGAACTTGGTTGAGATCAGGGAGAGAAAGTAATGGGAGGGTGAATCGGCCATTGAGTACGCAGTCATAAATAGGGCTAGATGTCAAAGCAAAACAAAACAAAACACCAACAATACTGGATGGATATTCTGAAGCCAACAAAAATGGATATGGTGGTTTTTCATAGCAATTCCAGTTAATTGCTTGGGGCTTTTAAAATGGAATCTCCATTCATTTGATCTGGATTTTAACATATTTGGCTATCTTAACCTGTGTATGTATAGTAGACCTTGCAATGCTTCTATGCCACCTCAAGAAAGCACTTTGTAACCTAAAGGGCCACACAGGCAGCTTCTTGTCTTCAGCACCTTAGCAGGAGCCTTTTCCTTAGTAAATCCTCTGGCTACCCTTCTATAGCTGATAATGCAATTCCAGGAAAAGCCATGGCTCCTTCAAGAGATTTTGGACAGGTACTACATTCAAGAGCCTGTGCACCTGGAATATGCTGCACAACCCCAGGATAAAGGTGTAACAAATTGGATGTATTCTTGGTTGGTGTTTTGTTCTATTTATTGACAAAAAAGAGAGAGAGGAAGGTGGCAGCGGCAAGGTGGAAGTGTGGTTTCCAAAAGAAAAAGGAATGAAATTCCTGAGTTTTTGGTAGAAATTGTTCCAGGAGACACAAGAATTCAAATGTCTAATAAGGCAACTATGTTCCTAATTTTTACTTTCATTGTTAGCAAAAAATTTTTGTAAGATCGTTTATGATGTTCTGTGTGGAAATAAATTTGCTTTCGGTATCTAAAATTTATCCAGCTACTATGTCTTTTTTTAAAAAATCTTATAGGATGTCACATGTGCTCCACTTTGAGGAGAAAACCAGAAAAGTAAAAGATGCAAGTGTGCAAGATGAAGACACGTTTGAAATTTATGATCCTCGTAACCCTGTTAATAAGAGGAGGAGGGAAGAAAGCAAAAAGATTCTGAGAGAAAAAAAGGCGAGGAGATGAAATGAGTGGTAAAACTCACCAGATTCAGCTTGGAAAAGTACATCATGCACTTTCTGTCTCTGCAGAAGTTGGTGTCCCAAAATATATCACTTACAAGGTGTGAAAAGGAATCTGGGGTCTAATTTGGAAGCAGTGCTATCACCTCTGTTTTGTGAATTCTGATGTAAAATAAGCAAGTCTTCTCAGTAAAGTCCTTAGAGTCTATTTTTAGTCATTATTGTTAATAAATAGTTCATTTTCCATACTCTGTTCCTTTTTTATGTATTTGCATTGTTAAATAGAGGATTTTATATTTACAATCTTCTTGGAACACTGAAAACTTTTTCCAGAATGTAGAACAAAAGGATTTGGCATTGGAAAAATAATGTTATCGCTCCTGGTAACAAACTTGGACATTTAATGCTTGTAGACTTGGAGAGAACCAGCGGAGAGTATCAGCATGCTCAGGAAAACCCCAAAATTGGAGAATAATAGCAACAACTAAAACCTTCATGGAAGTAATAGACGACAAAACAAAAGTTAAAAATATCTAGGGTGATAAAAGATTGGCCATGCTCTTTTGTCAGAACTGTACTTTGAAAGAAGTGTAGGAGAGAGGCACAGAGAGTATAGGATGACCAGTACTAATTAATAGAAGAGACTATTTGTAGCTCAGGGTTGAACTGTGAGGTCCTTGCTGCTCTCTTGGTCTTACAGATGTTTCATGATGTTAACTGTGCACTGCTGATGTTACCTAGTTGGATAATAAAGATCTGCAAGAAAATAACCAAACTCAGAGAGCACCAAGGACCCCGAAGAAAGACTAGTTCTAATTACATAACTTGCAAGGCTCTTGCAACTCATTCTCTAACTGCAATTTCATTTACTGTTCTTATTTCTGATGCCAAACATAATCTGTAGTACAGTGTGTGAAAAGGATCGCAATCTTGATTTACATCTGTTGTCTCATATATTTGGAATCAGTGGCTTACCGTTTTGATCTTAATCACTTTGGAAGCAAGCTTCCTCACTAATAAAAAATTTCTAGTATGCATGTGTGCAGAAGTATTCTTGAAAAGAATCTCCTCACGTCTTCATTATTTAAACTGCAATCTATGATGTTGATAGCAATTCCACTTTAACTTCAGAACTATTCGTATGCCTTGAAATGAAGACACTGCATTAGAACAAAATTAAAGTGTAACAAAATTAATAATCTGGAAGCAAAGGACCAAGAATGGAGGCATACAAAGATTCAGCAATATTTGCATTGATGCTTCATATATATTCCCTTTGTGAACTTTGGCATAATTAAAACAATGAGCAGCAATCCAATCAATCTGGTTCATAACAAAAGTCCAAGAAAAGTCCTTTATTAAATTCAGTTTTAAAGATGTTACGAAATTATTGCCTAATAATTATAATACTGAATTCCTGAATTATTTATTGAATTATTAAGATTCTGAGCACATCAGAACACTTACAATGAAAAATATGAGTGGTCTTGAGTAGTTTCTGATCATTTTAAATGAAGACTTCCAGTTTGTTGTTCTCAGTATAACTTAAAACAAATGAAGTCCAGGAGTAAGTGGGACAACTTTAATGGAGGAAGCAACCAAGGTCATTTTAAAAGCCCAATTGCAACACTGCTGATGTTGTTTTTAGAATGAGTTCAATAAGGTATAGTAACTTTATCAGGCTATGATAACTAAGTTTCTTGATAGGGTCTGACGTGTCACAAACATAAAACTGTCTCGTCATGTTAATATGGCCCAAGTGGCATGGGTTAGTTTAGTGCTGAATATTGTTAAAATATGCTATATAATCTCGCTAAGATAACACACCAAAAGAATGGAGGTGTGAAGAGAGTCCTTGTAAGAGGTTGTCATTGTCCCCAGCTTACATGTGAGAGTACAGAGCAGTTAACAAGCGATATGTTCTTAAATTGTCATTCACAATAAGACAAAGTTCTCATGCTTCTAATTTGCTATTAAGGTGCAGTTACAACAGACTTTCTTAAAAACAGCTTTCCATCTACCACTCCACATTAATGTGTAGTTAAATTATTCCTGTAAATGAAAATAGAGCACCACTGTTTATATAAAAATCCAATATCAGATTATTCTCTTCTACAGGGGGATGCTTCTGGTTCTAAATGTATCTGCTTAGAGATTAACTTCATTGATACTCTTCCAAATTATAGATAGAAGATAAGGCTGCCATGACTTCCTTGGCTAGCAATTAAGCAAACAAGGCCATTTTTAAAATCACTCGATAGTGAGATGGGTGGCATATAATTTTAGTAAACAAATATTTTTGTACATAATTTAAGATCATAGCCACACAGATCTATCTCTTTCTGGATATTGCTAGTGGGTTGGCAGGGCTGAAAGTCTAGCAGATTTATCCACAAGATTTAATAACTACTGTAACTGATGTCATCGTTGCATGAGAATGAACAATTCTGATGCATTAGCTGGATCATTTCTGGATTTTGTTGCTTGTTTTTTTTTTTTTTTTATCAGAAACCAAAGATCCAACAGAGCAAAGTACAAAAAATACATGTTTAGGATTAAAGGATTAACTTTCTTGCAAGCATATTTCGAGTACAGAAATGTGCAGAATCTGAACTGAAATAAACTCACTCAAGAATTCCCCCCTTCTTATTTTCAATTATTAATTTAATTTTAGAAAGAAATGTTTACTTTTGGTTGCCACTGGAAACTTTAAGAGATCCAATATATTCCAAAATGTCAACATCCTTTGAGTGAGGAAAGGTAAGTCCATGGCAGCTTACTTTACAGGCAGATATACCCATAAAATATGTAATCCTTAGCTGACATGCACAGCCTGTCCTAAAATCTATACCAGATCTCTTTACAAGGCAACCACATTTATCAGAAGGACATCCAGGATTTATACTTTCTAAACTAGGTTTTTGTTCAGTCATTTCCCCATTTCTAAGAATCAAACTTTTAATGCCAGTACATATATGGCTATTTCATATAGAACCAGGCTCATCTGAAAGATTTTAAAAAATAATTTTCTACTCTTAACATGATTCAGATCTCTCTCTCCCCCACCCCCCAACATCATCGGCTAAAGAAAAGAAGAATTGGGGTGACCTGATAGCAGTTTTCCAGTATTTGAGGGCTACCACAAAGAAGAGGGGATCAAATTATTCTACAAAGCACCAGAAGGCAGGACAAGAAACAACGAGTGGAAACCGATTAAAGAGAGAAGCAACCTAGAATTAAGGAGAAACTTCTTAACAGTGAGGACAATTAACCAGTGGAACCGGTTGCCTTCAGAAATCATGGGCACTCCATCACTGGAGGTTTTAAAGAAGAGGCTAAACAGTCACTTATCTGAAATAGTATAGGTTCTCCTGCTTGAGCAGGGGGCTAGACTAGAAGACCTCCAAGCTCCCTTCCAACTCATCATTCCTTTTCAGTGCCTTGGTTTTTGTAACATCTTCCCCAAAGACACGTTCTGGAGGACATGAAATTTTGTGCTGAAGGACGAATGCTATGTTAGTTTTTGGTATCTAAAAATCTGGAGGAGACTGCTAGCTCCTTTTCAAACTATCCCATTTTATGAAACGGCAGAAGCTTTCCTGGTTCACAAAAATTTGTGCCTTTTTGTAATTGTTAGCCTGAAAGGGTGCTGCTACCAGTCTTGCAATGAACAGATGAGAATTATTTTATTTGGACTGTCCTTCTGACACAATATTTTTTCTGATGGAAGTCATAACAAGGACCGGGGGGTTATTTTATTTTTTTTAAGTTCCACAAGACATTCTCTTGCTGAGGCGACCCCGTGTGCATACGAGACTGAAGACAGTAACACCCCCAAACCCCATCTGTTTCAGGGAAGCATAACTCTAAAATCTGGCAGCCTGACCAATTTCCTACTAAGTGTGGAATGAGCTCTTGCAGAAAAGCAGTCTAACAGAAGTGCATTTCAAGAGTTTCTTCTCTTGCAGCTGACAAATAATGTTTATTGGGATTCAGGGTGTAATGAACATTTACTGCATCACTTTTAGCATCACACTAGAAGCCTAAAATGTGGTCTATAATTACAGCCAGATTAGTTGGATCTGAGATGAAAAAAATATAGAACAGTTTGTAGGCTCAATTCTTGACTGTTAGAGAAAGAAATTTTTCCAGACAGCTTGGCAATTCTTAGCTTTCATGGAATGGACAGGAAGAAGTGCTGTGTGAGTGTGCGTTGTGTTGTTGGTTTTTTTTTCAAATGCTCATAAGGTATATTGGTACCATTTCTTACTATCTGAAATAGAAGAAAGAAAATATGTTCCAGTTTGGCAAAGGAGTCACATGCTCAAAGACTAAGTGATAAAAATGACTGCCCACTGTTTTTTATTTATTTGGTGCCCCTGAATTTTTGGCAATAGGCTGAAATATCTGAAACTATTTGAACTTTGAAACTAGTCTGAAAATCCTGTAGTAAAAGTTCTTGTCTCTCATTGGGGTGGGAGAAAGAAATAAAAAGTATAAGCTCCAGACAATTTGGCACCATAAGAATAAAGAATAATGCAAAAGTCCTGCTTTACTAGAAACCTTTACGATAAGCAATTTGAAAAACAAACCATTAATAAAAAATATTTAGGATTGTTTTCTATTCTTCTGTAACTTTGCAGATAGTTTCTTCATAGGTCAATATGTTAGCAATTACTCAGTAGTCCTATCCTCACTGTCACATTGGAGTATTCTGTGTCTCTGAATTATTCAATTATTCTTATCTAAATGTACGTTCAATATTATTTTCAGATGTGTAGTCAAGATGCACATGCACATTCCCTTAACTGTTACCCTAGCTCTGTCCACTCCTCTTAAGCACAGGGTGAATTATGTATAGCTATGCTTTCCCAGATTGCTAATAGTTTAGATTAACAAAGATCTAATAGTTTAGGTTTATATATTGTACAGTGCAATGTGATGATTAACCATAGTTTATTGAATTAATCCTATTCACTTGGGTTGACATTGAGTGATTCATTGATGTGCTATCAGTCATTTTTGACTCCTAGTAACTACCTAAATAAATAGATTACAGTGTGATTTATAGATAGATCCATCAATTGATAAGTAGATATGTAGATGGTAGGTACGTAGGGATAGATGATAGATAGCTAAATGGATGAGATAGATAGATGTATAGATAGACGATAAAAGATGTAAGCTAAAAATCAAACTATTTTATGACTTAGCAGAGCATAGTCATACTGTTTTAATGACTCAAAAAATTATTAATAGAATGGAATTGCAATGCTCATATAATAAATACGTAATGCTCAAGTAAACAACTCAAGCATATCATAGCTTACTATAATTGCCTAGTTTGATTTTTCCAGGTTGGCTGACCTAACACTAGCACTAGCACTTAGATGTATATACCGCTGCACAGTGCTTTACAGCCCTCTCTAAGCAGTTTATAAAGTTAGCATATTGCCCCCAACAATGTGGGTCCTCATTGCACCAACCTCAGAAGGATGGAAGGCTGAGTCAACCTGAGCCACTCAGAATTGAACTCCTGGAGTAGGGGTGGGATGCAAATATTTTTACTATCGGTTCTGTGGGTGTGGCTATGTGACTGGGTGGCCATGGCCTCTGGAAAGCCTCCAGGGAGGCCATTTTTACTCCCAGGAGGCTTTCCTGAGGCCCAGGAGGCAAAAAAAAAAACCCACCACACTGTGTTTTTTTGCCTTCTGGGCCTCAGGGAAGCCTCCTGGGCAAAGCAGTAAGACAGTGAGGGGGATCCCAGCACAGCTGATCATCAGAACAATTGATCATCGGGACAAAAAAGAAAAAGAAATACCGGTTCGGCCAAACCAGTATCTGTTTTTTACTACCAGTTCGGCTGAATGGTAACATTTTTCACTACCGGTTCGGCTGAACCAGTATCTGTTTTTTACTACCAGTTTCGCTGAACGGTAACATTTTTTACTACCGGTTCACCCGAACCTGGCTGAATCAGTAGAATACCACCACTGTCCTGGAGTGAGCAGCGAGTTAGTCCTGCAATAC